TTCAGCAAAATTGACACGTTGAGGCCCTCGCACAAATATAAAATCGTGACTTACAACGAAGATGTCGTTTTGCGTTTTTGTGATTGGCCTTTGATTCTTGGTCTTGAAGCTATCATTTGCTAGGTTAGGAGGAATTTCGATTTTGGATAAAGCTATTTGTTGACGACAATTTATGTGTTGTCAAGATTCGTGTTAATTTTTAAAATGAATGGTATAAATTCTTTTCAATTCATGATTGTTAAAAAAGTTATCAATTATGATTGTACATTTAGCATGATTTTGAGCAAATCATGAAGATACTTGCATGTGTGAGTCCTATTATTTGGCTAAGAATACAATTTTAAATAATAAATTGATGGAGAATGGATGGTTAAAGAAATAAAAAAGATGTTTTGAATTTGTGTGTAATATTATTTTATTGAAAAATATGTGGTCAAAAATGAGAGAAAAATGAAAAGGATTTTGCTACTTATATATATATATAAGCGATTATCGAAAATGATGTAGAGGGAAAAATTTGGATGAAAATGTTGATTATGTTTTAAAATGACAAATATCATAATATAATGTGACATTATGTAAACATTAATGTATATGTGGCAAAATATTCTTGAAAATAATAGAATTCAAACAAGTGATTAGATGGCTTCTTGCTTTTTAAAAAATTATAGAACTTCTGGTGTACTTAAAAATTAATTATATATTTTTAAGAAATAACCTGTTCTATATTTTAATTTAATTCAAAATCAATAATTAATTTTAAATATATATTTTATGGAATTCAAAACTTTTCAATTTATATTTCATCAAAATTACTAAAAAATTGATTTTAATTCTCAACAAACAGGAGCTAAGAAAAGAAGTATAAATACTGTTTAAATATTTTTTTATCAATAATTTCATATCTTAACAATTTATTTGAAGAAAAAAATATTTTGTCACGTGGTGGCAAATAAGATGTCCTTAAGCTATCCCAAAAGGCTTTTTAAATACTAATTAATAGAATGTTAAAACTATTAATACATTGAAAAAAGTTAGAGACAGGTGTTATAATAAACAAAAAAATAGGACCTTAAATTTAATTAAAATGTGATACAACTAATAAAAATTATTTTGTGAATATAATTACCCATGTGAAAACACGAACTTCGCAATTCTTTTACCTGGCTGAAGTGCGATTGTAATATTCAATTACATCAAGAGACGTGTTGTTATTTAGCCACTGTTTGGTGGTCATTATTTTCAAAAAACAATATTGTAAATAATGATTTTTAGGAGAATGAGTGATTCAAAAGTATGGAAAAACTTTAGATTTGCATGTAAAATATTTTAGTGTGTGAATATGATTGAAAATAAGTATGTAAAAAAAAGTTGAAAATAATGATTGTCAAACAGGAAGCTAACTAAATTTAAAAGTGTAATGTTTTTATTCTTTTCCTAAGGGAGTATAATGTTAATCATGTTTATTTGAGATATATATTTTTAATTCCGAGTTATAGAAGTATGTCATGTACGAATTAAGCTACTTGTACATCATTTTTGTACATTATGTATTGCATTTCCTGATGTTTACAAGGTGATACAATTGATTATTTTAAGGATTATTCTATGTGTACATAGATTGATCTATAGGAGATGACATAATGTGAGTGGGGTGGAGCCCGCGCTGTGTGTACACCTATGTACACATAACATGTCCCTTGTTTTAAATGTTGTTTAATTTAACAATAAAGTTATTTGTACAAAGTTGAGTTACAAAAGTTGGGTTACAGAGAGTGTTGGCAAAATTCATACTTTTGATTTCAAATGATTTAAGAATCTGTTTTTAAAATGATTGGTGTAGATGTTATTTTGTCAACCAACTTTGTACATGTAGCATAACTCAAAGTTTAACTCCTTATCGAACTTGAGCCTATTTTCACAGGTATCATTGGGCTCGGTTCCATAAAC